TTGGAAGGGATCTTGGAGGTCATCTAGTCCAACCCCCTACTCAGGCAGGAAACCCTACACCTTTTCAGACAAATGGCTGTCCAGTCTCTTCTTAAAAACTTCCAGTGTTGGAGCATTTGCTGCTTCTGGAGGCAGGCTGTTCCACTGATTAATTGTTCTCACTGTGTAAGGACCCACCCCACTTTGCATCTTAAGAAGACAGAACTCTTGGAATAATTCTTCCAACAGGAATCCTTTATTAAGAGAAAATGGTTGCAGGCGTTCTAGACAGGACTTGGGGTCCAAGCTCTCCCATTCAAGGTTTTAAGGGATTTCCCAGTAGCCCCACCCAATCCCCCCTACTTCCAGCAACAGTCTCAGGCATTACATTTCCCACCCTTTTCCCTTACTGCCGGCTGGATGGAGACTTCAGAGAAAACTACATGAAAGGTAATAGCCCCCTTTGTTATGATTAGGCCTTTTTGGTGCTATCCACATTCAATCCCTTTGAAGTTGTACCGAAGGAAGTGAGGGCCATAAAGCCCCTTTGTTCACCCCCTTCCCTTCCTTGTATGACAGAATCCAGAGAAGGCAGAAATGGGGTTTTCTATAATTGATAACTAGAGATGAAATATAATTGGATTCTGACACACTGTCAGGAAGTTTCTCCTTAGTTCTAGGTTGCTTGATTAGTTTCCACCCATTGCTTCTTGTCCTGCCTTCAGGTGCTTTGGAGAATAGCTTGACTCCCTCTTCTTTGGGGCAGCCCCTCAGATATTGGAACACTGCTATCCTGTCCCCCCTTGTCCTTCTCTTCCTTAAACTAGACTTACCCAATTCCATCAACCTTTCCTTATATGTTTTAGCCTCCAGTCCCCTAACCATCTTTGTTGCTCTTCTCTGTACTCTTTCTAGAGTCTCAACATCTTTTTTACATGAGCCATGTCAAATTCACTGGAGAAAGCAGTTGTGTTTGGAAGAGTTAGCATAAAAGGAAACCAGACTGGACTGGACATCATCAAAGTTTACACTAGCCAGAGCTTAGAACAACTCAAAGAAATAATGCAAGATCCGACGATACTGTAGGAAGAGACCTGATCCACAGAATCGCCAACTTCTTCTTATTTCAACTTCTGGCCCATCTTCTACATAACAGTTCTTCAGACAAGACAGCTATCATGTGTCTCTCCTCTCCTTGAATTCCCCCCCTCCTTTCTTAGCCTCTTTGCAAATTGATTGTTGTCCCCGGAAGTGCCCTGTTTTTCCATGTCTTTTTAAAAAGAATTCTGCTCCCAGACTGGGTGGCTACATTCTTCTGGTATGTTAATTAAAATGTCCTGTATTTCTCCTTCCAAAGTCTTTATTTCTTTGGTTCCACTTGCCTAGATCTGACTCAGAAGCAACGTGTGCCCCCTTCCACCTCCCAGACGCTGAACTCACCAGCCAGATTTGATCACAGCTGCGATTACGCGGCAGAAAGAATATCTGAGTCCCCATAGGAGCAATTGGTCTTTCGTTAGAAGTAGTTCAGCATCTGGCTTGTGCATTGTGACACTTGGAAGCTAGTTATGTATAACCCTGGCTTGTTGACTAACCATGTCTGGCATTGTAAATCTTCGTTTTCTTGACTTGGAAAATTGGCTTGCTCAGCTACAGTATGTCTTATCTACAAATTAATTGCTCTTTCCTACTTGCTGGCTGTTGGGATTTCCAGAAGCAAGCCTTCTCCTTAACACTCTATGTGTCTGGGGGTGCAGCTAACAAGTAGGCTAGCTTGGTCGCTCAACAGCGAGACACTGTTGAAGTGGGCACAGCAGCGCCTGCATTTTCTGTGTCGCATGAAGAAAAACACATCTTCCTTCCCCTAGCCTTACCGTTTCCTATGATTGAGAGCATCCTGACATATTGCATTACTGTCTGGTTTGGAAGAATTGCTGCTTCAGACAGGAAGGCAGAACAGAGAGTGGTGAGGAAGGTAAAAAAGATGGAGATTCTCAGTCATCCAGGTCATGGTTGTCCCAAAGGAGGCAACTGGACATTCTTGTTTTTCTTTGAAGACGTTTCGCTTCTCATTCCAGAAGCTTCTTCGGCTCTGACTGGATGGTGAGGAAGGGAAGGATTTATACTCCTTGCAGACTGCTGGTCATTTGCATTCTTTTAGCATTGTTGAGGCCACGTAGAGGTTTACCTGTGTCCTCCGGGTCACCTGAGTGGCACAAATATGTGTGGAGTCTTCTGTTGAGGCTCCACACCCATTTACACCACTCAAATAACCCAGAGGATAAACCTCCAAGTAGCCTCAGTGACTCTCTAAAAGAAGGCAAATGACCAGCTGTCTGCAAGGAGTATAAATCCTTCCTTTCCCCACCATCCAGTCAGAGCTGAAGAAGCTTCTTGGATGGGAAGTGAAACTTCTTCAAAGAAAAACAAGAAAGTCCAGTTGCCTCCTGAAAATGCATCTTTGGGACAACCATGGCCTGGATGACTGAGAACCTCCATAGACATTGAGCTGTGCACTTTAGGATGAACACCCTTCGAAAGGTGTGGGAGTGTGAACAAATTTCCAGAAGGCATTGCAGACTACAGTTGCACTTCAGTTTGAGATGCAAACAACACGGATTCCTCCCCAACAGCCTGCGCCCGTCTTCCACAGTGAAGGGACTCAGGGCAGAAGACATCCTGCAGCCAATGAGGCTCCCCACCCATTTGCACCATTCAGGTGACCCTGAAGACACAGATAAACCTCCAGGTGGCCTCAACGACTCTCTAAAAGGAAGGCAAATGACCAGCTCCCCGCAAGGAGTATAAATCCTTCTCTTCCCCACCATCCAGTCAGAGCTGAAGAAGCTTCTGGGATGAGGATATCTAGATATTGGATATCCAATATCTCAGGGGCTGCCATAAAGAAGAGGGAATCAAGCTATTCTCCAAAGGGCCTGAAGGCAGGACAAGAAGCAATGGGTGGAAACTAATCAAGGAGAGAAGCAACCTAGAACTAAGGAGAAACTTCCTGACAGTGAGAACAATTAACCAGTGGAACGACTTGCCTCCAGACATTGTAATGCTCCAACACTGGAAGTTTTTAAAAAAGAGACTGGACAGCCATTTGTCCGAAATGGTGTAGGGTTTCCTGCCTGAGCAGGGGGTTGGAGTAGATGATCTCCAAGGTCCCTTCCAACTTTACTACTACTGCTATTATTATTATTATTATTATTATTATTATTATTATTAGCGAAACGTCTTCAAAGAAAAACAAGAAAGTCCAGTTGTCTCCTGAAAAAGCACCTTTGGGATGTGTTTGAAAGAATTGTGGTAAAAGGAAACAAAGCTGCCAAAATACAGGGTGGTTGGACACCATCAAAGCTGACGCCAGCCAGAGCATAGAACAACTCAAAGAAATAGTGCGAGACTGGAAGGTGTGCAGTGACCTGGCCCAAAGAGTTGATATGACTGAATGAATATCATCATCTCCCATTTTTTGTTGCAGATAAATTATCTGGAAAGCTTTGTATACTATCAGCCTTAGCAGCTAGGGACAGAAGGGCAAGGCCTATACTTTTGTAATAATAGCAATAGCAATAGCACTTATATATCGCTTCACAGTGCTTTACAGACCTCTCTAAGCAGTTTACAGAGTCAGCTTTTTGCTTCCCAACAATCTGGGTCCTCCTTTTAGATAGATGGATAGACAGACAGACGGATGGACGGATGGATAGATAGATAGAGAAAGATAAAACATCTTCAGCTGAGTTTAGGGGATGTCAGTGTAGGTGTTCTGTTTATAGGGGCTTCAAGTGTGGGTGCGTCAAGTGAGGGCCTTGTGATGGGTCAGATAACAGAGATAGATAGATATAGCAATAGAACTTAGACTTATACACCGCTTCACAGTGCTTTACAGCCCTCTCTAAGTGGTTTACAGAGTCAGCTTACTGCCCCAACAACAATCTGGGATCCTCATTTTACCGACCTCAGAAGGATGGAAGGCTGAGTCAACCTTGAGCCGGTGAGAATCGAACTGCCAACTGCTGGCAGACGGCAGTCAGCAGAAGTAGCCTGCAGTACTGCCTTTTAGCCACTGCGCCACCACTGCTCTTGAACCCACCTTCTGGAAGGACCATCCTCTAACAGGGGTGTGAATACTTTGTTGCTTGTTACCTGTTGCTTGCTATTGATTTCCAAAAGTGTGTAAAAGGCACACCAATTTATATATTGGGGGCTCTCGGGGTGGGATGAGGTGTTACGCAGTCCCGAGAGCAGACCTCTTTGCACTATACAGAACTAACAGTGTCATCTCAACTCAAACCAGATGTATATGAAATTAATATATATATATATCTGCAATGCCTATTTTCGGTGCTTTTTCACTGTGCTAGATGCATCAGGAATTCTGACATGGCATGGGGAATTAAGCCACATTTATACCAATACCATGTCCCTAATAAACACAAGCACATAATACAAGAGTGTGTGCTGGGTCAGCTCTGAGGAGCATTGCCCCAAAGCATTTATTAACATTTTTTTTTTTCTTTTTTCCAGAAGCTTCAGAAGCAGCAAGCGATTCACTGGTAACTTTTAGCTCTGCATTTCAAACGATCCTTATGGTGAAAGGGAAGATTGCATCCCCTTCTTTGGATCTGGGATAGGAAAGACGGCATAATTGGCCACGGCGCATTCATTTGATCCTTTGGCTAGGCCAGGGGTAGGCAACCTTGGCTCTTTTATGACTCGTGGACTTCAACTCCCAGAATTCCTGAGCCACCATGGCTCAGCTTGCAAACTCTCCCTTTTCCCTCAGCATGGCTGGCTTAGGAATTCTGGGAGTTGAAGTCCACAAGTCATAAAGCATCCTAGGCCTAGGCCAGAGATAGGTAACCTTGGCTCTTTTATGACTCGTGGACTTCAACTCCCAGAATTCCTGACCCAGCAAGGCTCAGCTTGGAAACTCTCCCTTTCTCCTCAGCATGGCTGGCTCAGGAATTCTGGGAGTTGAAGTCCACGAGTCATAAAAGAGCCAAGGTTGCCTACCCCTGGGCTAGGCGCATGTAACCTTTCTCACCCCAAACATTGGACCAGCTGTGAAGGGAAGAATACAGAATATTTATTTCTGGAATTCTGCAGCACAGTGGATCATTCATGCTTCTAGCTGAAGTTTCGCATAGCTCGAAAAGCATGGTGCAAAAATAGGCTTTTTGCCATGTGTTAACAGGGAGGCAGCCATCTTTAAAAAAGGAACTATATGGTGGTAATAATAATAATAATAATAATAATAATAAAGTTGGAAGGGACCTTCAAGGTCATCTAGTCCAACCCCCTGCTCAGGCAGGAAACCCTACACCATTTCAGACAAATGGCTGTCCAGTCTCTTCTTGAAAACTTCCAGTGTTGGAGCATCCACTGCTTCTGGGGGCAGGTTGTTCCACTGGTTAATTGTTCTAACGGTCAGGAAGTTTCTCCTTAGTTCTAGGTTGCTTCTCTCCTTGGTTAGTTTCCACCCATTGCTTCTTGTCCTGCCTTCAGGTGCTTTGGGGAATAGCTTGACTCCCTCTTCTTTGGGGCAGCCCCTGAGATACTGGAAGGCTGCTATCCTGTCCCCCCTAGTCCTTCTCTCCATTAAATTAGACATATCCCAATTTCAGCAGCCGTTCCTTATATGTTTTAACCTCCAGTCCCCTGATCCTCTTTGTTGCTCTTCTCTGCACTCTTTCTAGAGTCTCAACATCTTTTTTACATTGCCCAAAGCTGGATGCCGTATTCCAAGTGTAGCCTTACCAAGGCATTGTAAAGAAGTATTAACACTTCACGTGATCTTGATTCTCTCCCTCTGTTAATGCAGCCCAGCACTGTGTTGGCCTTTATGGTGTAGGAAGGCCCCCCTCCCAGATTAAAATATTTATTCTTAATATTAAAAAGAGGCAGAATATTATATTTCCCGAAAGGAGAAATGGAGAAAAGTCTTAACAAAGGCAGAAAGCAGCCCCAGTCTTTCTTAACAGCCTCAAGCAGAAGTCTCAAGTCTTTAGAGATGGATATTTTGTACCTATTAAGAAAGACTGGGGCCAATCTATTCGTAAACAAAACACCCTCAGCCCCCACGGCTGATGGGATTAAAAATTTACATTCCCCCACTCAAATTCTAAGGACAGGGCATGACCTTTAGGACATAGCATTAGACTAGCAAAAGGCACAAGGCTCACTACATTGCACAACCCCCTGGAGCGTCTCAATTGGAACCCTGTAAATATCCATCCACTCAGCCATTTTGTCAACTGTTCTAGAATGCATGCTGTTGCTGGTTCTGTTCATCAATAAACAGACCTTTCAAAAGCAGCCAGCCTCCATTTTATTTCCAGCATCTTACTCTCGGCTTGGAACTGGACCTGATTTTTCTTTCAACAATGACAACAGCAGACCAGGTTCCTGGTCCATGGCTTCACAGGGGTTATGCAACGTGACTTCAAGATGGAAACTCAGCCTAAGAAGATCTGGGTATGTTTAGCCTGATGACCTCACACAGCATCTGCTGGGACTCACTGCATAAATGGGGCATAGTATCCTCCCCTCAGTGTGACTGCAGAGTCCCATGTCAAACTATATATCACATCGTGACTGACGGTAAACTGAGGGCATACAGGTAGTCCTCAACTTACAACCACTGCTGAGCCCAAACTTTATATTGGTTAAGTGAGTTTTGCTCAATTTTACGACCTTTCTTGCCACATTTGTTAAGTGAATCACTGCAGTTGTTAAGTTAGTAATACCGTTGTTAAGTGAATCTGGCTTAACTTTGCTTATCACAAGCTTGCAAAAGAGGATCACGTGACCCCGGGACACTGCAACTGTCATAAATGTGAATCGGTTGTCAAGCATCCAAATATAAATCACGTGGCCACGGGGATGCTGCAATGGTCGTAAGTGTGAAAACTGGTCGTAAGTCACTTGTTTCAGTGCCGTTGTAACTTCAAACAGTCACTAAATGAACTGTTGTAAGTTGAGGACTACCTGTATACCGCTTCAGTATCTGATTTTTTTCCCATATATAAACGATGCTGTGTTTTAATGGTTAAATGGCCTAGGGCAGGGGTAGGCCACCTTGGCTCTTTTATGACTCATGGACTTCAACTCTCAGAATTCCTGAGCCAGCCACGCTGAGTTCCCCCATGCTGGCTCAGGAATTCTGGGAGTTGAAGTCCATGAGTCATAAAAGAGCCAAGGTTGCCTACCCCTGATCTGGGACTTCAACTCCCAGAATCCCCTAGGCCAGGGGTAGGCAACCTTGGCTTTTTATGACTCGTGGACTTCAACTCCCAGAATTCCTGAGCCAGCCACGCTGAGGGGAAAGGGAGAGGTTTCCAAGCTGAGCCATGCTGGCTCAGGAATTCTGGGAGTTGAAGTCCACGAGTCATGAGGGGGCCATAGTTCCCCCATGCTGGCTCTCTCTCTATTGAAAATGAGCATGAGGAGCCAAGGTTGCCTACCCCTGATCTGGGACTTCAACTCCCAGAATCCCCTAGGCCAGGGGTAGGCAACCTTGGCTTTTTATGACTCGTGGACTTCAACTCCCAGAATTCCTGAGCCAGCCACGCTGAGGGGAAAGGGAGAGGTTTCCAAGCTGAGCCATGCTGGCTCAGGAATTCTGGGAGTTGAAGTCCATGAGTCATAAAAGAGCCAAGGTTGCCTATCCCTGCCCTAGACGTTGGTATCTGAATATAGAATTTTTTAACCTTCATATTTTATGTTTTTTAAAAAAAAATCTAGGTAAAATGTTAATATAAATTGCAAGTCCATGTATGACATGCCATATGCTAAGTAAATAAATAAGAAAGGACAGTTGAGGGGGACTGATATCTGAAGGGTTGTAACATGGAAGAGAGAATGGACCAGAACAGAATCATTGGGCCAAAATTGAAAAGAAGACCGTACAAGCTAAACTTCAGAAGGACTTTCCAGGTATCGCTAAAATGTCTTTGGAGATTCTCTGTCATCCAGGTCATAATTATCCCAAAGATGCTTTTTTCACAAGGCAACTGGCCTTTCTTGTTTTTCTTTGAAGACGTTTCATTTCTCATCCAAGAAGCTTCTTCAGCTCTCATTGGATGGTGGAGAGTGGAAGGATTTATACTCCTTGCAGTCAGTTGGTCATTTGTGTTCTTCTAGCAAGTCCTTGAGGCCACCTGGAGATTTGCCTGTGTCCTTAAGGTCACCTGAGTGGTGCAAATGGGTGTCGAGCCTTCTTGGAACTGATGAGGCTCCACACCCATTTGCACCACTCAGGGGACCCTGAGGACACAAACAAACCTCCAGGTGGCCTCAACGATTCTCTAAAAGGATGCAAATGATCAGCTGTCTGCAAGGGCTATAAATCCTTCCATTCTGCACCATCCAGTCAGAGCTGAAGAAGCTTCTTGGAAGAGAAGCGAAACATTTTTAAAATAAAACCTCAAGAAAATCCAGTTGCCTCCTGAAAAAGCATCTTTGGGATGACTTTCCAGGTAATTCGGATAAATGTTTGACCCAGTGAGAATTCATTTGCAATTTCCCACAGCGTGATACCTTCACATGGAATATTAACAGAAGATAGTGGTTATAGAAGAAGGGGACGACAGAGAAGGAGGTGGCTGGATGGAGTCACTGAAGCGGTAGGTGTGAGCTTAAATAGACTCCAGAAGATGGTAGAGGACAGGAAGACCTGGAGGAACATTGTCCATGGGCTCACGATGGGTCAGACACAACTTTGCAACTAACAACAAAGTGGTTATATAAGGCAGATGCTAACTGCTGAGAACATTGTGGGTGCTCAGAGCAAGTCCTGGTGGTCGCCTTGCCCATCTTTACAGAACAATAAGACAGGGTGTTCAAATATCCAAGTGCTCCAGATAAGGAAAAGCTTTCCATTTGATTTTCAGGTGATGCTACTTGAGATAGATATCACCTTCCTCACATCCTCAATATGACATGGATTATAACATCCACATCTCCAACAAAGATGATTAGGGGACTGGAGGCTAAAACATATAAGGAACGGTTGCTAGAATTGGGTATGTCTAGTTTAACAAAGAGAAGGACAAGGGGGGACATGATAGCAGTATTCCAGGGGCTGCCATAAAGAACAGGGAGTCAAGCTATTCTCCAAAGCCCCTGAAGGCAGGACAAGAAGCAACGGGTGGAAACTAATGACAGTGAGAACAATTAATCAGTGGAACAGCCTGCCTCCAGAAGCAGTAAATGCTCCAACACTGGAAGTTTTTAAGAAGAGACTGGACAGCCATTTGTCCGAAATGGTGTAGGGTTTCCTGCCTGAGCAGGGGGTTGGACTAGATGACCTCCAAGGTCCCTTCCAACTTTACTACTATTATATTATATTATAAGTACTTCAGGAGCATTGTCTTCCAAACCCAGCTGAAGAACGATCTTGGGGGAAGCAAAAATTTAACATTGTAAGCCGCCCAGAGTTACCCTCTGGGTGTGTGGTAAGATGGGTGGCCAATAAATGTAATGAATAAAATGAATTTTTATGTGGGAAAATCCCATGGGAAAAAATGAGTAAGTTATACAGCAATTAAATTTCCCATTTCTTACACTTCTGCGCTCTGTTGTTTTTTTACTCACCTGTTCTTTAGGATCCAATAGCCGCTGTCCTTTTTGGAGTCGTTATAACCAACAATCAGCATATCATGAGTTATCTGTTTTAATCCTTTGTTGTAGCTTCCAAATATACCTGGATAGAGAGAATAAAATACACCTGGATAGAGAGCAAACCCATCCTTGCTGGCTGACTCAGAAAGATTTCTAAAATGTCAGCCAGGTATCCCAGCCCATCTTGGTTGTGGCAGAGATCTGTAAAGAAAGAGGCCTTTTCAATGTAGCACCCCTAATTTGAAACACACCCTAGTGGAGATGCTTTCACCTGGGCACTGGACAAAACCTTTAGGCTATAATAGTATTTCTCTGCTTTTTCCAGGAAACCAATCCCCTAGGACAGCGGTAGGCAACCTTGGCTCTTTTATACTCATAAAACTTGGCCCTTTTATGACTCGCGGACTTCAACTCCCAGAATTCCTGAGCCAGCCATGCTGAGGGGACAGGGAGAGGTTTCCAAGCTGAGCCATGCTGGCTCAGGAATTCTGGGAGTTGAAGTCCACCAGTCATGAAGGGACCATGGTTCTCCCATGCTGGCTCAGGAATTCTGGGAGTTGAAGTCCATAAGTCACGAAGGGGCCATAGTTCCCCCATGCTGGCTCAGGAATTCTGGGAGTTGAAGTCCACGAGTCATGAAGGGGCCATAGTTTCCCCATGTTGGTTGAGGAATTCTGGGAGTTGAAGTCCACGAGTCATGAAGGGGCCATAGTTCCCCCATGCTGGCTCAGGAATTCTGGGAGTTGAAGTCCATAAGTCATGAAGGGGCTATAGTTCCCCCATGCTGGCTCAGGAATTCTGGGAGTTGAAGTCCACGAGTCATGAAGGGGCCATAGTTCCCCCATGCTGGCTCAGGAATTCTGGGAGTTGAAGTCCACGAGTCATGAAGGGGCTATAGTTCCCCCATGCTGGCTCAGGAATTCTGGGAGTTGAAGTCCACGAGTCATAAAAGAGCCGAGGTTGCCTACCCCTGGGTTAGTCCATAAAAGACACAATGGGTAAAGGTAGTCCTTGCGTTAAGACCACAGTTGAGCTAGACAGTCACTTGTCTGAGATGGTATAGGTCAGGGGTAGGCAACCTTGGCTCTTTTATGACTCCTGGACTTCAACTCCCAGAATTCCTGAGCCAGCTTGGCTCAGCTTGGAAACCTCTCCCTTTCCCCTCAGCACGGCTGGCTCAGGAATTCTGGGAGTTGAAGTCCACCAGTCATAAAACAGCCAAGGTTGCCTACTCCTGCCCTAGGACAATGTTGATCAAACAGATTTTTTTTTTAAAAAAATTCATTGGTGCCTTTTAGCTTCTTCTTCTTGGCCATTTAATATGTTTAGCAACTATTTTATCCTGTGCTGGAGAAAAAAAAGATCCACTCTACAAAGGAAGAACATTGAGAAGGGTCCTTGGTGCTCTCTGAGCTTGGCTGTTTTGTTGCAGACGTTTCATTACCTGACTAGGTAACATCGTTACTGATGAAAGATCTGCAAGAAAACAACCAAGCTCAGAGAACACCAAAAAAACCCTCCTCCCTTCAACCCTGAGCTACCAACATTCTCCTCTTATCGATTGAGAAGGGTTAATTCTTTTTTTTCTTTGTACTCAATAAAAATCTTTAAATATATATAAAAAATAAAAATAAAATCTACATACCCCACCCAAACTCTAAGACAGGACATAATAGGATTAACCCACAGATACCAAAGGGCACACTCAGACTCAGGTCAAAGTTCCTGCCACAGGAACAACTCCAAACAAAAGGCTCCAGAGAGTACAAAAACCCACTCCCTACATGTGCTCTCTCTCTTTTCTTCCAGAGCAGTCTTCCTTTCTGGCTCTCCTCTTCAATAAACTGCAACCTTCTTTCTAAAGCAGTCACCATGTTATTTATTCCTAGCTTGGACTGAATCATGATGAAGACTTTTCCTTCAACAGTCTAATTTCAAAATAGGGTAGATAGGAGGAAATAAAGTGATAAGATACAAATGTTGTAGGATCCAATCTTCAGGGAAACGCCTCTTCAGCGAGAGCCCAAAAACTTAGATGGCAACAATCGCTGGTCCCAGCGACTGACCCAGATCGAATACTGCAATGTTATCCTGGGATATGTGCATTCGCCTTCATTTGTGAGATATAAATGTGTTAATACTAAGAAACAATAAATAATTGAATCCCCCTGGCAAGATACTCCAATTGTTCAATGTATTGGGTTCATAGCACCAGAGTCTTAGTTATAAACCTAGCAGTTCTATGTTCAGTGTATATGTTTGAACCCAGGATGAAATATGATAATCTCTGCTTGGGGTGGGATTCAGCCGGTTTACACCACTTCGGCAGAACCGGTAGCTAATTTTTTGTTGCCCAGGCCCAGAACGGACTTCTGGAAGCGGCATCCACACAGAGAACCGGTTGTTCACCTATTTGAAACCCACCGTTGAATCAATCATCTAGGTCTGTCTGTCTGTCTGTCTGTCTGTCTGTCTGTCTGTCTGTCTGTCTGTCTGTCTATCTATCTATCTATCTATCTATCTATCTATCTATCTATCTATCTATCTATCTATCTATCTATCTCTATCAACCCAGTGGTGGGATTCAGCCGGTTCGCATCAGTTCGGCAGAACTGGTAGCTAATTTTTTGTTGCCCAGGCCCAGAATGGACTTCCGGAAGCAGCATCCACACAGAGAACCGGTTGTTCACCTATTTGAATCCCACCATTGAATCAATCATCTAGGTCTGTCTGTCTGTCTGTCTGTCTGTCTGTCTGTCTGTCTGTCTCTCTCTCTCTCTCTCTCTCTCTCTCTCTCTCTCTCTCTCTATCTATCTATCAACCCAGTGGTGGGATTCAGCCAGTTTGCACCAGTTTGGCAGAACCGGTAGCTAATTTTTTGTTGCCCAGGCCCAGAATGGACTTCCGGAAGCTGCATCCAAAGAGAGAACCGATTGTTCCCCTATTTGAATCCCACCACTGGTTGGTATCCTAGTGGGCTAAATAAATGGAGAGTTTTCTGGCACCTTTTTTGTATTTCAAAGAATAACCTTAAGAATTTCTCCATCTGATGTGTGGTAAAATAGAATCTCTCAATTCTGGAGACCTCGTCCTCAAGTCCAGGGAAGAATTAGAATTAGAAGGCCACGCTTGTCGCTGGTTTACATATCCACAAATGAAGGAAAGATTTAAACTAGACAAAAAGGCCATGGTTCTGGGTTTGCCCAAAAATGAATTGGAAATCCTACTGTGTGGTAGTGATGATCATATAGTAATAATAGTAATAATAGTAAAGTTGGAAGGGACCTTGGAGGTCATCTAGTCCAACCCCCTGCTCAGGCAGGAAACCCTAATAATAATAATAATAATAATAATAATAATAATAATAATAGTAATAGTAAAGTTAGAAGGGACCTTGGAGGTCATCTAGTCCAACCCCCTGCTCAGGCAGGAAACCCTATACCATTTCGGACCAGTGGCTGTCCAGTCTCTTCTTAAAAACTTCCAGTGTTGGCGCATTTACTGCTTCTGGAAGTTCTCACTGTCAGGAAGTTTCTCCTTAGTTCTAGGTTGCTTCTCTCCTTGATTATAATTGCCAAGGTCTATAAAAAGTTATTAAAATTAAATTTGGAAAATGGATGTGTAAAACACTGCATGATCCAGTGGGCAAGGGATAATGTGATGCTTGAACAAGGGGAGAATATGTGGATAAAAGGCTTAAAATTCACATTGAATTATAACCTTTTTTTTTTTAACAAAATGATGTATCGCTGGTTTTTAACACCTGATAACTTATCTAGAATGTGCAAAGGTATTTCAAATAAATGACTTAGATGAGGGAATGGAAGGGGAACTCATCAGATTCGCAGATGACACCAAACTGACAGGAGTAGCCAACACCCCAGAAGACAAACTCAGGATCCAAAAAGATCTTGACAAACTGGAACAATGGACCCTATCCAACAAAATGAGTTTCAATGTGGAGAAAAGCAAAGTTTTACATTTAAGCAGGGAAAAAATCAAAGGTACAAGTACAGATTGGGTGAGACCTGGCTTAAACACAGTAACTGTGAGAGGGACCTTGGAGTCCTAGGGGACGATCACTTGACTATGAGCCAGCAGTGTGCAGCAGCAGCCAAAAAAGCTAATACAATCCTGGGTTGTATAAACAAAGGCATAGAATCAAGAATAAGTGAAGTATTAGTACCGCTTTATAAAACTCTAATAAGACCAAAGCTGGAATATGCAGCCAGTTTTGGTCACCATATCAACAGAGATGTTGAGAGTTTGGAAAAAACTTCAGAGGAGAGCAACTAAGATGATCAAAGGCCTGGAGACCAAAATATATGAAGAATGGCTGCAGGACTTGGATTTGGCTAGTCTAAAGAAAAGAAGAAATGATAGCAGTGTTCCAGTATCTGAGGGGCTGCCACAAAGAAGAGGGGTCACATTATTCTCTAAAGCACCAGAGGGTAGGACGAGAAACAATGGTTGGAAACTGATCAAGGAGAGAAGCAATCTGCAATTAAGGAGAAACTTCCTGACAGCGAGGACAATCAACCAGTGGAACAGATTACCCCCAGAAATCATGGGCGCTCCATCACTGGTGTTTTTAAAGAAGAAGCTGGACAGTCTCTTGTCTGAGATGGTACAGGTCATCCTGCTTGAGCAGGGGGCTGGACTAGAAAACCTCCAAGGTCCCTTCCAGCTCTATTCTATTCTATGACATGCCTATAGGAAATAATCAACAGGGACAGTTGTGATCTCCCCTGCCAGCAGGGATGGAATGGAATGGAATGGATGGAAACCAACCAAGGAGAGAAGCAACCCGGAACTAAGGAGAAACTTCCTAGCAGTGAGAACAATTAACCAGTGGAACAGCTTGCCACCAGAAGTTATGGGTGCTTCATCACGGGAGGTTTTTAAGAAGAGACTGGACAGTCACTTGTCTGAAATGGGATAAGGTCTCCTGTTTTCTATTCTATTCTATTCTATTCTATTCTATTCTATTCTATTCTATTCTATTCTGTTCTGTTCTGTTCTGTTCTGTTCTGTTCTGTTCTGTTCTGTTCTGTTCACCTGACCTGAAATAAACTAGAAGCTCTCCTTCTTGTCACCATCTTGAAAAAAAAACCATAACTATTTAATACTTAGATGGAGTATGGGCGTATCAGCGTTGAATATTAGTTGGCAGAGGAGATGGCATGAACCACAAGCCCTCAGGAACCTTACCTGACTTATAGAAGTGGAACTTGGTACTCCGAGCATCTATTCCAACCGAAACTGGACCAATCTTGGCCACAGCCTCCTGAAGACCTTTTTCATCCCCCTTCTGGATCCTTCCAAATGAGTTACATCTGGTAACGGATTCCTTAGGCTTATAGCGACAGAAACCAACCTGCAGAAGAAAACAATGATGATAAGAAATCGAACCCTCTCCCATCCTATTGCTGGAGGCATTTTCAGCTAGAGATGTATAATAATAATAATAATAATAATAATGATGATGATGATGATGATGATGATGATGATGATGTACCTGGTTGACACCTAGGATGCTGGTAGCAACCCGTGTCAACCATCAGCGCTAGCCAATTTGAATGTTCAGTTGGCTGAGGTTCATGTTTAATGAATAAAAGATATAATAATAATAATAACAACAATAATAAATAATAATAAAGTTGGAAGGGACCTTGGAGGTCATCTAGTCCAACCCCCTGCTCAAGCAGGAAACCCTACACCATTTCAGACAAATGGCTGTCCAGTCTCTTCTTAAAAACCTCCAATGTTGGAGCATTCACTGCTTCTGGAGGCAGGCTGTTCCACGGATTAATTGTTCTCACTGTCAGGAAGTTTCTCCTCAGTTCTAGGTTGCTTCTCTCCTTGATTAGTTTCCACCCGTTGCTTCTTGTCCTGCCTTCAGGCGCCTTGGAGAATAGCTTGACTCCCTCTTCTTTGGGGCAGCCCCTGAGATACTGCAACAAGGCTATCCTGTCCTCCCTCGTCCTTCTCTTCATTAAACTGGACATCCCCAATTCCAGCAGCCTTTCCTTATATGTTTTAGCCTCCAGACCTCTAATCATCTTTGTTGCTCTTCTCTGCACTCTTTCTAGAATCTCAAATAAAACAGTTCCACTCGAAGCGTGCACAGGAACGGGGCTGGGATAGACACAGGTTCGATCATTTATTACCTCTCCATCATAAGGGTAGGATTGCTCTGAATCGATCCCTCCACGCTTCTTCACAGATTCAAAAGCTAGGTGCATCATTCCACCTTTACACCCTTTATTCCCCTGTTGCTTAGAACAGTCGATCAGATTTTGTTCGCTCAGCGAGACCAGCTTCCCCGTCTTCTTGAAATGCATGCCTTCCAGAGCGCCAGTGGCGCTGAAGGACCAGCTGGAGCGACAGTTGCCCTGGTCAAAAAGAAAGGAAAAAATTGGAGTGACTCATTGAGCATCTGAAAACTCAGAATGCAGATATAACAGAGTTGGCAGGGAACTTAGAGGTCTTCTACTCCACTCCTGTGCTTGAGCTGGAGACCCTATAGTACCATTGCGGATAAATGGCTATCCAGTGATAGAGCATCCACAACCTCTGGAGGCAAACTGTTGCCCTGATTAGTTGCTTTCAGTTTATACCTTTAATTTATGTTCCTTTAACAAGTTATTTGTTCTCGGTACTTGGTAGTAAAATGAGTTATAATAACAATAACAATAAAGTTAGAAGGGACCTTGGAGGTCATCTAGTCCAACCCCCTGCTCAGGCAGGAAACCCTATACCGTTTCAGACAAATGGCTGTCCAGTCTCTTCTTGAAAACTTCCAGTGTTGGAGCATTCACCACTTCTGAGGCAGGTAGTTCCACTGGTCAAGTGGTTGACTGGCCAATCATCAGAAGGTTGTGAGTTCTAGTCCCGCCTTGGACATGAAAGCCAGCTGGGTGACTTTGGGCCAATCCCTGCCTCTCAGCCCAGCCCACCTCGCAGGGATGTTGTTGTGGGGAAAGGAGGAGGAGGAGGGAGAATTACATCTTCTTCTTCCTATTACTTAAGTCTGCCATTTTGAGCTGTTTATAATAAAAAATAAAGCCAGGATATACATTTATTTATTTATTTATTTATATCCTGCGTTTATTGTGTTTTATAGACAAGCAATCCTTGACTTACAACCATAATTGAGCCCAACGTTTATGTTGCTAAGTGAGACATTTATTCAGTGAGTTTTGCCCCATTTTATGACTTTTCCGTTGCTAAGAGAATAACCTGGTCGTTAAGTGAAATTGGGCTCCCTCCCATTGACTTTGCTTGTCAGAAGGCTGCAAATGGTGTTTACTGGACCCAGGGACATATTGTGACTGTCATAAATACGAGTCAGTTGCCAGTCGTCCGAATTTTGATCACCGTTAAGTGTGAAAAATGGTCCTAAGTCACTTTTTTTCAGGGACGTTGTAACTTTGGTAATAATAATAATAATAATAATAATAATAATAATAATAATAATAATAAAGTTAGAAGGGACCTTGGAGGTCATCTAGTCCAACCCTCTCCTCAGGCAGGAAACCCTATACCATTTTGGACAAATGGCTGTCCAGTTTCTTCTTAAAAACCTCCAGTGTTGGAGCATTTGCCGCTTCTGGAGGCAGGTTGTTCCACTGGTTAATTGTTCTCACTGTCAGGAAGTTTCTCCTTAGTTCTAGGTTGCTTCTCTCCTTGGTTAGTTTCCACTCGTTGCTTCTTGTCCTGCCTTCAGGTGCTTTGGAGAATAGCTTGACTTCCTCTTCTTTGGGGCATCCCCTGAGATACTGGAAGGCTGCTATCATGTCCCCCCTCGTCCTTCTCTTCGTTAAACTAGACATACCCAATTCCAGCAGCCGTTCCTTGTATGTTTTAGCCTCCAGTCCCCTAATCATCTTTGTTGCTCTTCTTTGTACTCTTTCTAGAGTCTCAACATCTTTTTTATATCGTGGTGACCAAAACTGGATGCCGTATTCCAAGTGTGGCCTTACCAAGCCATTGTAAAGTGGTATCTTTCTGACAGGATTAAAGTTTTAGGGATGAAGTTAAGAGAGGAAAGAATTTAGCTTTATCTTCGTGAACCTGTCAAATTCTGACTCGTGGCCAAACGGCCAGATCATAACCCTCTTCTCTTTCTTAAAAACATCTATACATAATACCCAGAACCATCCACCATGACCCACCTGATCTTTGACTTTGGTGACAGCACCTTTGATTCTCCAATCCACCTGGTCAGGAATATCTGGATCGGCTGAGGATTTGAACATGATTCCGTTGCCTTTGGTTACATTATCAAAGTCAGAGAACAGGTAATGCAGCCTGTTGTCAAGCTCTTCATTGGTCTGAGGAGGAGAAGAAGAACAATCTTAACAGATCTCCATTTCCACTTCTCATCTTACTCCTGTGGTAAGAATGCACATACACACCCCAATCCTTTTTACTATGCCCCCCCAAATCACAAGAATGAAGCTCAGGAAAAGAAATAGAGAAACAGAACTTCACTCATGAAAACCCTGGTTATTGCGAAAAGCAGAAACATTGAAACAAGTCTATAGATTTACAAAGAGAGCCTACTAAATGTAATAATCACTGAAGATAAGGAGATAAAATTAATTACATCTATTTGGCAAGATTAAAACTCAAGATTAAAACTCAAGGAGTTAGACCAGGGCTTTTCAACCTTTTCATCGACTGTACCACTTTTAGGATATGGCAATATTCGAGTACCACCTAGCAAGGTGTCAAAAACTTGATGACCAAAAAAAAAAAAAACAAAACACCAAACCAAAAAAAAACCCACCAAAAAACCCCCACTATTCAAAGTTGCAATTGCACTGAAATGACTTATGACCATTTTTCACATTTATGACCATTGCAGCATGCCCAGGGTCATGTGATTTATATTTGGATGCTTGGCAACTGATTCATATTTATGATGGTCACAGTGTCCCAGGGTCATCTGATCCCCTTTTGCAACCTTTTGACAAGCAAAAACTTGACCCCAGTCAAAAACTTGATGACCCCCCCCCCAAAAAGGAAAAAAGGGATAAAGTACAGGTAGTCCTCGACTTACCCCTGCAGCTCCTGAGGACTCTTTCATGGCAAGTCCTGCGCTGTGCTTTGGCTCATTCCCTCCTCCGCTACACTTGGCTAGGCTGGGCAGGGCCGCGTACCACCTGCCAGGTGCCGATGTACCACTCGTGGTACCCGTACCACTGGTTGAAAAGCCCTATTTTAGACTCATTGCTAGCCTTTGCGAAACAGACTAAATAAATCTAGTAACAGAAGCACAGAAAGCAGGCCTCCAATTGCTGCAAAACTGTATAAAAATCTTTGTATTCACCAAACGCCAATTGTCCCAGAACTACATGCTGTTGTTGGTTCTGCTCATCATTAAACCTTCTTTCCTAAGCAGCCAGCCTCCATTTTATTTCCATCATCTTAGTCTCCATTTTACTTCCAGTGTCTTACTCCTGGCTTGGAACTGGATCTGATTTTTCTTCTGACACTCCTTAATAAGTTTTATCCCATGATCAAATGCAAAGAATAAATGTTATGAACAAACCCGGTTATCATAGAGGATTTGGGCATAATTAAGTCAATTTCAGTGTTTCTCAACCTTGGCAACTTTCAGATGTCTAGACTTCAACTCCCAGAATTCCCCAGCCCCTATGAATCACCTCAAACACCTGGCAGGTAAAATGCTACCATTCCCAGTCTGGATAATAGATTGGGAGAGATGGTAAAGAATGAATGAATTCACAGAGATGGCTTAAACACACCCAATATTTAAAATTATGTATTTTTAAGTAATGGAATGGAATGGAGTGGAGTGGAGTGGAGTGGAGTGGAGTGGAGTGGAGTGGAATAGAATAGAATAGAATAGAATAGAATAGAATAGAATAGAATAGAATAGAATAGAATAGAATCTGGAACTTTTAGGAAAAGGGACATATTCTGACTCTGATATAAAGTGCCTTCTTTAAATCAAGTCAGATAGATAACTCAAAAGAAACAATCTCATAACAAAAAAAAATTTAATCAGAAAGATTACTTGTATTCACACTGTGGTTGTTACTCCTGGAAAATACATCTTTTGTCCATTTCTTCAGACCATTTCTTTAGGTAAAAGTATGATGCTCTCTTCCATACCATCTTTATAACGACTCAAGCTCATTGTGTGACCTTCGATGGCCCATGCTTCTTTCAGACAAAGAGATTCCACCCTGGCTTGTGTCCAGGAAGTTTCCCAATGACCTTTTGAGACTCCTCCCAGTGACCCATCAACATACCTAGCATTTAACCCAATAATTGCCAGATATTCTAACATACTGATACCTGCTCTCTAGTTAGGGTTACATACGTTCCAGAATAGGACATCTATGCCTAATAAATCAGTGAAAACTAGAGTCATTTGCTGAGATGGGTGGCTGTAGAAATCAGATAGATGATAGATAGGTAAGACAAGATAATATAACCTTTATTGTCTTTTTTTTTACTGTGGGCACAACGGCTCACATCAAAAATGAAATTTAGTTGCCCACTCTCAAAGTGAAACACATACATGACCCACACCTAAACATACTATGAACAACATATGTATAGACCCCCACCTACATATATGTAGCAAATAACTATTAAATACTGTCCATCTTGAATATATAACGGAAAGAGGAAGCTTGAGAGATCACAAGGTTAATTCTGTATGGAATGAAACTCTGGCTGAATCTGGATGTTCTGCTTTGGATACCACGGAGCCCCCTCCTCCCAGAAGGTAACAAGGAAAACCAGGTTGTGAAGAGGATGTGTGGTGTCCCAGATAGTCTTATGGACCCTGCTCAAGCAACGCTTCTGAGCTAAGTCCTGGGTGGGTGGGAGGGAGGGAACTGCCAATGATAGATAGATAGATAGATAATAATTATCTTTCTATCTATCTATCTATCTATCTATCTATCTATCTATCTATCTATCTATCTATCTATGTCTCTAATTATATTAAAAATACAAATCCTGGGTAAAGCCATGAGATAAAACACCAGGATAACATTAAACCACAAACTGTTTAATACAAGTGCTGAGCTTTCGTCGGCCAACACTGCCGACATTGTCAGAGCATAAAAGCGAGGTTGCTGGGAGTTCTGTTATATCACCAGTCGATTCTGCATTTGACTTTTCAACCTGGTCACTGGTCCACTCATTATCTCTGGTTGTTTTATTTTTAAAGGGCACGCGTTTGCTGCTACACAAATAGTTTCCAAGGTTGCTGTTCTTTTTCTACATTTCTTCCCCCCAATCCCTTTCCTCATGTGCCCTTTAAAAATAAAACAACCAGAGACGATGAGTGGACCAGTGCACAGATCGAAACATCGAATGCAGAGTCGACCGGTGATATAAGACAACTCCCAGCAACCTTGCTTTTATGCTCTGACAATGTCGGCAGTGTTGGCCGACGAAAGCTCAGCACTTGTATTAAACAGTTTGTTGTTTAATGTTATCCTGGTGTTTTATCTCATGGCTTTACCCAGGATTTGTATTTTTAATATAATTAGAGACATAGATAGATAGATAGATATAGATAGATAGATAGATAGATAGATAGATAGATAGATAGAAAGATAGAAAGATAGATAGATATAGATAGATAGATAGATATAGATAGAAAGATAGAAAGATAGATAGATAGATAGATAGAAAGATAGATAGATAGATAGATAGATAGATAGATAGATAGATAGAGGGATGGATGGATGGATGGATGGATGGATGGATGGATGGATGGATAGGCAGGCAGGCAGGCAGGCAGACGGACAGACAATTTCCAGGCTTACCAAATCGCCAAAGTGGTTCATGCCAAGCCAGTAGGTGTATTTCCCCAGGTCAGCCTGCTTGTTATGGTCGTCAATCATCTTCAGATTGTCCTCCCACACGGCTCTTCGAAAGGATTCTTCCTCCTGCTGGGAAGCCAAAAACCAGGAAGATCCCTTAGTCCCATCTGCCTAAAGAAGCGGCACCCACAAGATCTAGAAGAACTAATGTTCTTCTCTTCCACAAAAGGTTTCTCAGACGAGAATTCAGGCAGCCAGCAATCGACCAAACAAATTCCTTCCATTTTTCATTCAGTGTGCAGGACGTGATTCCTCACAAAATATTGTCTGAAGACAGGAAGAACAGAAAGTCACATCCTAAACATGGCTGTTTTAAGTTGAAGTCAAGGTATAGCAATGGAAAAGTGGAAGTGTGTCAGAATTATTGAATTAAAATATAAAAATTTCATCTTTAGAATTGGGCATGGCTACTCTAGAGAAGAAAGGCTGAGCACAAAAGAATGGAGGCCTTTGAACTCTGGTGCTGGAGAAGACTCCTGCAAGTCCCTTGGACTGCAAGGCGTTCAAACCGGTCAGTCCTAGAAGAAATCAACCCTGACTGCTCTTTAGAAGGCCAGATCCTGAAGTTGAAACTCAAATACTTTGGCCACCTAATGAGAAGGAAGGACTCACTGGAGAAGGGCCTAATGCTGGGAAAGATTGAGGGCAATAGAAGAAGGGGACGACAGAGAATGAGATGGCTGGATGGAGTCACTGAAGCAGTAGGTGTGAACTTAAATGGACTCCAGAAGATGGTAGAGGACAGGAAGACCTGGAGGAACGTTGTCCATGGGGTCGCGATGGGTCGGACACGACTTCGCAATTAACAACAACAACTCTAGAGAAAAGAAGGACTGGGGTGACTTGATAGCAATATTCCAGTATTTGAGGGGCTGCCTCAAAGAAGAGGGGGTCAACTTATTTTCCCAAAGCACCAGAAGGCAAGACCAGAAACAACAGATGGAAACTAATCAAGGAGAGAAGCAACCTGGAATTAAGGAGAAACTTCCTAACAGTGAGGACAATCAATCAATGGAACCACTTGCCCCTAGAAGTTGTGGGTGCTCCATCACTGGAGGTTTTTAAGAAGAGACTGGACAGCCACTCAAATGATATAGAATCTCCTGCTTGAGCAGGGGTCTGGATTAGAAGACCTCCAATCTCTCTTCCAGCTGTATTCTGATTTATTTGAGTTCTAGTGGAGCAAACTCACCAGGGCGTATTCTTTACCGTGCGTGGCCTTCCAGTCTCTCCATGTCCCTTCTAGGGTGGGATCCAAAGCTGTGGACAAGGTCCTCAGGGAGACCAACCAGATCAGAGCCGTCACCGAGATGGACAGCATTGTCTTTCTCTGGGAGAAGGAAGAAAAGAGAATTGAAAGAACTTAGACAGCAGGTTCAATTCAGCAACACGCTAGGAGTTACAGCCCAGCAACATCTGGCTGTCTACAGGTTCCAATCCCTGATTTACAGTGCTAAAAAAAAGAAGATTAAAATGATTCAATTGCTGTTAATAAATGCGTAGATCAAATGAGGATACGAACATCTCTGGAAAGTTTAAAGCAGGGGTCTTCAAACTTGGCCCCTTTATGACTTGTGGACTTCAACTCCCAGAAGTCCTCAGCCAGCGTGCCATAAAAGGGCCAGGTTTGAAGACCCCTGCTTTAAAGTAAGGGTAATCAGCTGGAACCTCACTTCAAGCAGGTTTTTAACCGAAGGCCAAGAAGCAATTGTTGAGGAAAACTGCACCAGCCCCTTTTATAAAGCTGAAATAAACCGCCACTTCCCACAGCCTGTAATTGACATTTACTAGGAAATCTCTGGAGATCTTTCGAAAGCAATGGGAGGTGGTTTTTTTTTTTTTTCATTTCAGTAAGATAACGTTCTTTTAAATCTCTCTTTCTTGGAGATGGGGGGAAGGTAATCTATAAAGCAAAACAGCTGCTCATCTGATTTGTATCTCCTATCTCTGGAAAATTAACTGGCTTTCTGTGGTTGCAACCGTTTTCATGTCCCACGAAGATATATTTCATGTTTGCTTCCTGTCTAGCTTCTCTGTCTATTTTGCTCTTTCCAATAAAACGCACTCTTCTCCACCCTGCTCCTGTCCCCAAGCAGGAGATTCAAAGACGACTGCAGTTATTACTGATTGTGGGGAGGGGGAAATATGTGGATTGTGGGTCCATCTTTATTTGTGCAAATGTCACACTGAGTAATAATCATAATCATCATAATCATCATAATAATGTTGGAAGGGACCTTGGAGGTCATCTAGTCCAACCACTTGCTCAGGCAGGAAACCCTATACCATTTCAGACAAATGGCTGTCCAGTCTCTTCTTAAAAACTTCCAGTGTTGGAGCATTCACCGCTTCTGGAGGCAAGGAGTTCCACTGGTTAATTGTTCTAACTGTCAGGAAGTTTCTCCTTAGTTCCAGGTTGCTTCTCTCCTTGATTAGTTTCCACCCGTTGCTTCTTGTCCTGCCTTCAGGTGCTTTGGAGAATAGCTTGACTCCCTCTTCTTTGGGGCAGCCCCTGAGATACTGGAAGGCTGCTATCATGTCCCCCCTCGTCCTTCTCTTCATTAAACTAGACATACCCAATTCCAGCAACCGTTCCTTATATGCTTTAGCCTCCAGTCCCCTAATCATCTTTGTTCCTCTTCTCTGTACTCTTTCTAGAGTCTCAACATCTTGGCAAACAACTCTGAACTGTCATCCATTCTTGAATTTTATTGTCATGATAAAATTCAAGAATTTTATCCAGACTTTTGCTTAATATTTTTTCAACTTAGTTGTATGGCAAATATATATCTGCATCCAGTTTTGGTCACCACCATGTAAAAAGATATTGAGACACTAGAAAGGATGCAGAGAAGAGCAACAAAGAGAATCAGGGGCCTATAGGCTAAAATATATAAGGAACGGTTACTGGAATTGGATATGTCTAGTTTAAGGAAGAGGGGTGACAGGATAGCAGTCTTCCAGTATCTCAGGGGCTGCCCCAAAGAAGAGGGAGTCAAGCTATTCTCCAAAGCATCTGAAGGCAGGACAAGAAGCAACGGATGGAAACTAATTAAGCAGAGAAACAACCTAGAACTAAGGAGAAATTTATTGACAGTTAGAACAATCAACCAGTGGAACAACCTGCCTCCAGAAGTGGTGAATGCTCCAACACTGGAAGTTTTTAAGAAGAGACTGGATAGCCATTTGTCTGAAATGGTGTAGGGTTTCCTGCCTGAGCAGGGGGTTGGAGCAGAAGACCTCTAAGGTCCCTTTCAACTCAATTATTCTAATATTCTAAAATCTGGACACATTTCCTTTTTGGCTTAGCTTAGACTGGAGGATGAAACTTACAATGAACGGTTACAGGAACCGGATGCGTCTAGTTTAACAAAGAGAAGAACCAAGGGTGACATGATAGCAATCTTCCAATATCTGACGGGCTGTCACACATAAGAGGGCAGGACAAGGAGTAACAGATGGAAACTAATAAAAAGAGAACCAAACTAGAACTCAGGAGAAACATCTTGACAGTGAAAACAATTCATCAATGGAAGAAATTGCCTCCAGGAGTTGTGAATGCTCCATCGCTGGAGGTTTGTAAGAAGAGATTGGACAACTGTTTGTCTGGAATGGTAGTGGGTCTGCTGCTTGAGCAAGGGGTTGGGCTAGAAGACCTCCAAGGTCCCTTTCAAATCTGTTATACCGTTAGTGCTACTCTAAGCTTTTGATTATTGTATTAGTGTTGTTGGTATGTGTCCACAAACAAGTTCAAAATCTATTAAGCAAAAGTCTGGATCAAAAAGCACCTTTTCATGACGATAAAATTCAAGAATGGATGACAGTTCAGAGTTGTTTGCCAAGATGTTGAGACTCTGGAAAGAGTACAGAAAAGAGCAACAAAGATGATCAGGGGATTGGAGGCTAAAACATATAAGGAACAGTTGCTGGAATTGGGTCTGTCTAGTTTAATTAAAAGAAGGACAAGGGGGGACATGATAGCAGTCTTCCAATATGTCAGGGGCTGCCATAAAGAAGAGGGAATTAAGCTATTTTCCAAAGCGCCTGAAGGCAGGAGAAGAAGCAACGGATGGAAACTAATCAAGGAGACAAGCAACCTAGAACAGTGATGGCGAATCTTTTAGAGACCAAGTGCCCAAAAACTGGTCCCGCCCATGCCCCACCCCCTGCCCCGCTCTCGCTCCGCCCCACCCTGCCTGCCTGCAGGGCCACTCATTGCCTCCAGAGCGCGCCGCAGATCACCCAGGCAGCCCAACAGCGCCATGGTGGCCACGCCCTGCAGCATCAACTGTGCGCATTGGGGGGTGAGGGCAGAGTCTTGTCTACGCTGCCTGGCTGCTATGTCTTTGGGGGCGACTCTCCTCCAGCGAGGCTGCTGGTGAGGAGGGGGTCATGGGCGGAGGCAAGGCTGGGGCAATGGCATGTGTGCCCACAGAGAGGGCTCCGAGTGCCGCCTCTGGCACCCGTGCCATAGGTTCGCCACCACTGACCTAGAACTAAAGAGAAACTTCCTGACAGTTAGAACAATTAACCAGTGGAATAACCTGCCTGCAGAAGCCTGAGCAGGGGGTTGGACTAGATGACCTCCAAGATCCCTTCCAACTTTATTATTATTATTATTGATCATCGCACAGTCAGCTAGATGTTCAGACTGGATTTGGCATTTTGTCTACCTATCAAGTCCTTACCCAGGACCTGGGATAGGCAGATGTGGATGTTTGATGGTATTACAGGTATCGTCGCAGGATGGAAGCAGTTCCTAATAAGGCCGCCTTTTGCAATTGACTAATAGCGAATTTGTCAATGCCAATGGTGTTCAAGTGGTGCTCCAGTTGTTTTGGGATTGCACCCAAGGAGCCTATTACTATTGGTACTACCCTTGCTTGCTTTTGCCACAGTCTTTCTATTTCTATTTGTAGGTCTTTGTATTTTGTTATCTTCTCCAGTTCTTTCTCTTCTATTCTGCTATCTCCAGGCACTGCCACGTCCACTATCCAGACTTTTTTGCCTTTCTTATCGACAATTGTTAAGTCTGGGGTGTTATGTTGCAGGTGCTTGTCTGTTTGAATTCTGAAGTCCCAGAGCAGTTTAATTTTATCATTTTCTATGACTTTCTCTATTTTATGATCCCACCAGTTTTTGCTTACAGGCAAATGATATTTTTTGCAGATCTTCCAATGCACCATTGTTGCTACTTTGTCATGCCGCTGCTTGTAATCAGTCTGTGCAATCTTCTTGCAACAGCTTACCAAGTGGTCCACTGTTTCTTCAGCTTCTTTGCATAGGCGGCACTTACTGTCTGTTGCTGTCTTCTCAATTTTGACTTTGTATGCATTTGTCCTTAAGGCTTGGTCTTGTGCAGCCAGAATTAGTCCCTCGGTCTCTTTCTTCAATTTTCCTGCTCTTAGCCATTGCCAGGTTTTATTATTATCTGCTTTCCCAGCTATTTTTTTCATGTATTGGCCATGTAGTGCTTTGTCTTCCCATGCCTCTATTCTGTTCTTCATTTGGTCTTTCTTGTAGGCCAGTTTGGTCTCTCCAGTAGTCAGTAAGCCTTCCTGATATACTAATTTCAGTGCATCTTCATCATTGTTCTTCAGATATTCTTCCAAAGCCATTTTTTCTTCTTCAACCATCTGATGTACTTGTAGCATTCCACGCCCACCTATTTGCCTTGGTAGATAAAGTCTATCAATGTCACTGCGTGGATGAAGGGCATGATTCATTGTCATTATTTTTCTGGTCTGCCTATCCATTGCTTTTAGTTCTGCTTGAGTCCAGTCCACTATTCCAGCTGTGTACCTAATGACTGGGATTGCCCAGGTGTTGATTGCCTTTATGGTATTTCCTCCATTGAGTTTGGATTTTAAGATCTTCTTCACTCTCTTGATGTATTCACCTCTAATCTTTTTCTTGACTTCAGTGTGCTTGATGTTGTCAGCTTGAAGGATACCCAAGTATTTGTAGTACTCTTCCTCATCAGACTCTTAATGTTATTTTCGTGGGGCATCTTGATTCCTTCAGTTTTCATTATTTTTCCTTGTTTGATAGTAAGTGTGGCACATTTGTCCAAGCCAAACTCCATTACAATATCTTGGCTATATATACGGACAGTGTTGAGCAGCGATTCTATTTCAGATGATGTTTTTCCATACAGCTTCAGATCATCCATGTAAAGGAGGTGGGATAGTCTAGCAGATGTTTTTGATGTTTGATAGCCATGTCCTGAGTTATTCAGTATTGTTGACAGAGGAAACAGTGCAATAACAAATAGTAATGGTGATAATGAATCTCCTTGAAATATTCCTCTCTTGATATTAACCTCTCCCAGCTTCTCACCATTGATCTGCAACTGTGTCTTCCATTGTGCCATCGATCTTTGCACAAATTTTCTGATGTTTCTATTGACTCCTGTTATTTCTAGGCACTTGATTATCCAATCATGTGGCAGAGAGTCAAATGCCTTTTTGTAGTCAATCCATGCCACATTCAGGTTGGTCTTCCTTCTCTTGCAGTTTTCCAAGATCATTTTGTCTATTAGGAGTTGATCTTTTGTTCCTCTGCTATTGGGGCGGTTTCCTTTCTGCTCAGGTGGAAAGAGATTGTTTTCAACTAGATGCTGTTGTACTGCATCAGCTACCACACCAGTTAGTAATTTGAAAGTTGTTGGTAAGCAGGTAATTGGCCTGTAGTTACCTGGTGT